CCTATACAGGGTCCCTATGAGTCAGGACCTACTCAAAGGCACTTAACAACAACAACAACACAATTCCAGGGTTATTGCTAGATTAAAATGTGACTTGAAGAATGAGTCTCCATGTAACTTTTTCTTCCAAAGACCTTCTCTTTGGATGAAATATGACTGAGATGAACAGAAAGGCATTATCAAGAGAGAGAAAACAACGCAAAATCTCCTAAAAAGGGATGTGTTGTTCTGTGGTGATCAGAGGGGAGTGTTTGGGTGGTGATCAGAAATACGTGTGTGTGTGTGTATAGGTACCAACTGAAAAATCACCTAATAGTCAAAGTATATACAAGAAATTAATATTGAATTACAACCCAAAGCATAAACTAGATATTCATGAGTCTACACTAAAGGAGCTCTGGTAGCGCAATGGTTACGAATCGGGCTGCGAACATCAGGGTCAGCAGTTCGAAACTACCAGCTGTTCCATGGGAGAAAGATGAGGCTTTCTACTCCTGTAAAGATTTATAGCCTCAGAAACTCTGTACATAGTCGCTATGAGTCTGAACCGACTCCATGGCACATTATAACAACAACAACAACAATACTACTATAGGAGTCCTAGTGTGGCGTTGTGGGTACATGTGCCAGACTGCAAAGCCATTTGATACTGCAAGGTTGGTGGTTCAAGCTCACCAGCTGCTCCTCGGAAACCCTACACAGGGTCTCTATGTGTCAGCAATTGACTCGAAGACAATTCAGACACTTCGCACACACGCATACTACTATAAGGAGTCTTGGTGTGGCACTGCAGGCTAATGCACTGGACCATAAGGTCAGTTTGAACTTCAGGGTCGGTGGTTCAAACCCACCAGCTGCACCTCAGAAACCTTATAGAGTCACTATGGGTCAGAACTGACTCGGAAGCATTTAACAACATACAACTATAAATAAATAATGAAAGAAGTAAATGAGTAGAGGAGAATAGACCGATCCCCAAACAATTTATGTAGATAGATCCTCTGCCCTCAAGAAGCAGAGGCATTCCTCCCCACGGCTAAGTGGGGGTTGCACACAGGGACCCCTTTCCCAACAGTACCATCTGGGAAGAGGAGGCAAACAGAGCCAACCTGACAAACACAATTTCAAGCCAGGTCATCAGGGTTGGCATCTACAGTGATAGGCCAGGTTGAATACATGTCCTCCATATGATGTGACGACATGGCTCAATATTATCTCTGAGGTCTTACTCACACCCCACACACCCCAAAAGCCCACTGTTGTTGAGAAGACTCCTAGCAACCCCATGTGACCGAGTAGCACAGCTAGCAGGGCTTCCTCTCCTGTGACCTCTGTGTAACTGCCTTCCCCATCTCCCAAGTTAGCATGTGTCTACACTCTACCTGGTGAATAAGTCTCCCACCTCTGGTAACCATCATAGATTGATTATTTATTGTAGAATGAACTCCTTTTCCTGAATTTTTACAGTAGTGTCTCATACAACATCTGTCCCTTTGTGACCGGCTAATTTCACTCAGCACAGTGTCCTCCAGGTTCTTCCATGTCATGCAGTGTGTTTTGCAGATTCATCATTACTCTTCAGTGTTGAATAATCTTCCATTGTGCATATACCAAAGTGTGTTCAACCATTCCTCTGCTGATGGGCACCTAGTCTGTCTCAATCATTTTGCTATTGTGAATAACACTGCAGTGAACATGGGTGTACATCTATCTCTTCATACTCCGGCTCCTAGTTTTTCAAGATATACCAAGTGGAGAGATTGCTGGGCCATACATTATTTCTATTTCCAACCTTCTAAGAAAGTACCATAAGGAGCTCTGGTAGTGTAGTGGTTACGAATCAGGCTGCTAATCTCACAGTCAGCAGTTCTAAAGTACCAGCTGTAAAGATTTACAGCCTCGGAAACTCTGTACAGGGTCGCGATGAGTCAGAATCGACTCCACGGCACATAACAACAACAAGAAAGTACCATACCGTTTTCCAGAGAGGTTGCACCATTTTACAGTCCCAACAGCACTGTAGGAGGATCGCAAATTCTGCACAGCAGCATTTGTTGCTTTTCTGTTTTCTAAAACTTTGTTATTAGTGCTGAACTAACATCATGTCTCTGAGGCCTAGTGTGCTGTTCTAGGACAATCACTGGACTTTTAACTGTAAGGTCAGCAGTTCAAACCCACCAGTTGCTCTTTAGAAAGCCTGTACAGGGTCACTATGAGTCAAAACCATCTCTTCAGGACTTAACAACAACAAAACCAAGTTGCTATCTCATTGTTGTTTCGATTTGCTTCTCTCTAATGGAGTCCTGGTGTGGCGCTGTGGGTTCATGCGCCAGACAGCAAAGCCGTTTGAACTGTAAGGTCAGCAGTTCAAGCTCACCAGCCACTTCTCAGAAACCCTATACAAGGTCTCTATGGGTCAGAACTGACTTGACAGCACTTCACAACAACAACAATGGTTAGTGGAGTCCTGGTGGGGTGCTGTGGGCTAATGCGTCAGATTGCAAAGTTGTTGGAATTGCAAGGTCGGTGGTTCAAGCTCACCAACTGCTCCTTGGAAACCCTATACAGGGTCACTAGGGGTCAGAATCCACTTGAAGGTACTTAACAACAACAACAATGGTTAGTGATCATGAGCATTTCTTCCTATGGTTGTTGGTCATCTTCTTTGGTGAAGTGTCTGTTCATGTCCTCTGTCCATTTTTAAACTGGAGTATTTGTCTTCTTCTTGTTGCGGTTTTGAAGTGTTATATTGGTTTTAGAAAGTACTCTCTTGTCTGATATGTGATTGTCAAACTTTTTTCCAGTCTGTGATTCTCTTTTGATGAAATTTTCGATGCACATACATGTCTAAGTCATCTAAGTTTGGAGTCCTGGTGTGGTACTGTAGGATCAGCACTCAACCACAAGGTCAGTTTGAACCGCAAATTTGGTGGTTCAAGCTCACCAGCCGCTCCTTGGAAACCCTATACAGGGTTGCTATGAGTAGGAACTGACTCGATGGCAGTTAATAACAACAACAAAAGTCATTTATTATGTCTTCTGCTATTTGTGTGATTTCAGTCACATCCAATAGTGTATTTACGTCGTGTATCAGAGCCACTAAGTTTGTCCCTGTTTTTTCATTGATGGTCTTTATAGTTCTAGGTTTATATTTAGGTCTTCCATCCTTGTTGAGTTTGTTATTATACATGATGTGAGATATGGGTCTTGTGCAAACAGATTTCCAGCTTTGCTGGCATCGTTTGTTGAAGAGACTATCGCTTTCCCACTTAATAAATTTTAGTCCTTTGTCAAAGATCAACAGTACACAGGTGGATGGGTTTACTTCTGAGTTCTCGATTGGGTTCCATTGATTAATGTGTAGCCTACAATCTTTATAGGAGCAGATCACCGGGTCTTTCTTCTGCAGGCCCATTGGATGGATTCTGACCAACAACCTTTTTGTTAGCAGCCAGTTGCTAGCTTAACCATTGCTTCTACAAAGCTGTGACAGACAAGTGATGGTCTCTGTGATGCCAAATGACTAGATTGTCCCCAAAGACTACAGTTCCCAGGCCCTTGAGCCAGTCTAGGAAGCCCCATAGCTCTTCCCCCTGTGTGGTTTGTTGTATGTGTGGATGAATACATAGCACACATAAACATGTATATACATGCATAAAGATACATTTTCACATGCTTTTACACATGTGTGCCTTTCTAGACACACACACGCATCCACATCTACCCACCTTGTTGTTGTTAAGTGTCATCGAGTCAGTTCTGATTCGTGATGTCCCGGTATCAGGTTTCTGAGGGAGGAGCGGCTGCTGGGTTTGAATCCCCAGCCTTGTAGTCAGAAGTCCAGTGCTGATCCTACAGTGCCACCCCAGCTCAGATCCTTTATGGTGAACCTTCTGGATTTGTAGTTGTTATTATGCATTTTCTAATTGGCTACTTGTTTTGTCATTTTGTTCTTGTATCATTCTCCTGAATTCTATCTAGTGTGTTGCCTCTTGTCCTTGATCACTTTTAGGGTTCCATAGGTGTCTCTTGAATTCCTCATCAGGTAGCCTTATGATCACTTCTTCCTCAGAACAGGTTTCTACTCCTTTATTTTGCTCAGTTGTTTGAACGGTGTCCTGGTGTGGTGCTGTGGGTTAATGTGTCAGACTGCAAAGCCATTTGAACTGCAAGGTTGGCAGTTCAAGCTCACCAGCTGTTCCTTGAAAACCCTTACAGGGTCGCTATGGGTTGGAATCAACTCAATGGTTCTTTACAACAACAACAACCCTGTTTCTTCAAGTGATGATTGTCCGCTGTGTCTCAGGCATTCAACATGGTGCTGGGAGTTGGTGAGTTCTCTGGAGGTCAGAGCAAGACGTCTCCCTGTCTGCTGTGAGGGGGTGATGGGCAGGGCACTCCTGCTGTGTGGGGATGAATTGGTGTCTCAGTAGGTGATAAGGTATCAAGGGGTTTCAGTGTGGAGCAGCCAGCCCTCAGGAACTGTTTGGTGTAGAAAGCAGTTGCAGCTGGATGTTGCACGTAGGCACGAGTCTCTGGCTCATCATTGGATTAGGAAGCACTGACTGCCAGTCACCAGTTGAGTGATGCTGAGACTCACACCACCGGTCCCTGGCTGGTTGCATAACCTGGGGATGGTCAGGGTGTGAATGCCTTTTGGTTGCAGGTCTGACTGCACAGGGGGTTAACCAGGAGGACATGCTCCCAGTCTGCCAGAGTGCAGTGTGGAGGAAGGTGTACCACCAGTCTGCTGACCTCAAGCATGGACCCCAAGATTGGGTGTGGGAGAGGGCACGACCACTTTGTGGATCCCTGGCATGGTGGCTAGACAAAGCAGGGGGCACTGCCCGTCCTGCAGGCTGGCAGGCAGAAGTTGAGGTGGCCCCAGTGTGGGAGTCTGTGAGGTTGCTCGTTTGGGTAGTGGCCATCCACAGGCTCCCAGCACAGGGGACAGGGCAGAGGGGGGTGGAACAGCACCAGTCCACTAGTCCTGAGTCCAGATGGCGGGGTCAGAGAGTGAGATCCTCCCCTCCAGAGTCCCAGTGCAGGGGGCAGGTGCTGCCAGTCCTCAGACACCGGAAGGTGAATGGAAGGAGCAGGAGGCAGCCCGGGAGCTGTGGAACCACCAGCACCAAGGGGCGCATTCCTGCCTGGCTCCCAACAAGAATGCTGGGACATTCCTGCTCCGCAGCACCAGATGTTGGGGCTTCGACTGACAGCGCTGCTGACCTGGTCTCAGTGTGACCACCTTGTGCTGCTACAGGTGGGGCATGCCGACCACCCACAAATCTCATCATCCTCCGGCTTGTGAAATCCCTCCTTCCACGTGGCACCCTGCCAGTTCTGAGCCTCTCAGTTATGCACTGAGCTCCCTGGTTGTTGTCCACATCTGACTCACTGATTTCCTCGGGCCTTTATTGTACTGCGGACATAATGAAGCATCTGGCTACACCATTGTCTTGGACCATTTCCCAGACCTGTTACCTGTCAGTCTCCTCCACTGCAGGGAGGCTCTCAGATGGCACACATACCTCTCACTCGCTTTTGTTTCTTTAACCATGTGCCATTAAGTCAGTTCCAACTC